CACACACACACACACACACACACACACACACACACACACAACCCTGAATTATTAATCTCAGCATCTTCTCTCTTGCTGACTCAAGCTGACATTTCTGAATCAAGACGAGCGTTAAAATGAACTTTTAGCTTGACTTTCATGGGATTCGCTGTTTGCTCGGAGGGGGGTGGGGGGGGGTCGAGGTGTAATACTGCAGCTGTCGGCTGCACTAACACCATCAGATGTGTCGCTATCCGTGTCCTGATCTCTGCACAGATCATTCCTAGGCCGAGAAAATGGATCCTAATTACCCAGAAATTTATTCTGGCCACATGTTTGTGGTTTTATGTGATAAATGTTAACAACTGCTGGGGTAAGCTGCCATCAAATTGATTTCAAGCATCCATAAACACCTCGAGATGGTTGTTCTCTTTCCTGATTTAAATGTGCCAGTGGCTGCTCAAAGAAACAGAACTGGAAAAATGTGGAGAACGATGTAGGAATTTGGTTGTTTTTGTTTAGTTTTTTAAGAAAAGGAGGTTTTGATGTTTGTAAAATTCCACAGAGCTCCTTTTCGTTCATTCATAAATTTGACTATCTTTGTAAGGGTGTGTTAGTTTTTCTGTCTGTCTGTTGGCAAAGTAACTCATTAACCACTTGACAAGTTTGAACGAAATTCTCAGAAAGTAATCACTGTATGTCCTTCTACAACGGATTAACTTTTAGAGTGACCCAAATTCAAGATGGCTACCACAGCTAATCAACCTTAGTAAACACAAAAATGGCAATAACTCAGTCAGATTTAAAGATACTGAATTATAATTTAGTTTGCTGAAAGCTGCGATGTTTTCACAACATATTTTATGAGAACTAACAGAATGCACATGAAATTAGTTTATTCTTTTGCTTTTAGCGTCAAATGTCTTTGGCGTTCTGTGATCTAAGAACAAGCCATAGCTTTGTTGATTTTTTTAATTAAATCTCTCATTATGGACATATCATGTCAGCAATAAATCTGCCTAATATTTCAAATTAAAACCTTTAAGAAATAAATAAAAAATCCCAGTTCATTTGCTGCAGAAAACCAAAAATATTAAATAATTAATTTGGCTTACTCCTCCACCATTTAATATATAGATAAAATACTGTATTTTAGTTGTTGCAAGAACTTATAAAAAGTGTCTTTAATAAAGTTGTTTAATGCCAATTAAAGTGCTGGCAAGATATTCAGGTAACACAAGTTGAAATTGTAATATTTATATTTCATAAATAATAAGTGGGTTTGTTGGTTCCAGGAAAATAAGAAGCTCAGTTGAGGACTAATAAGCTGCTGGGATTTGTTATTTACTATCCCTGTATATACTCTTCTATGTATGCCATGAAAAACAAAACAGCTAAATATTTCCTAGTCTCTTTCATTAAACAATCTAATTATGTTGAAAGCATGTTTTCTCTGTTGTGTTTTCATCCACTCTAAGCCAGACTTAATCACATTAAAACAAAAAAAGGAGTTTTCGAACCTTCTCCTGTGAAGCGCAGCGAGTTTTGAGGAGAGAAAATCCATAGTGGATAAGACAATAAGACGATTAGAACTTGCAGTGAAGTGCTCTTTGGAAAATAACAGATGAAATAAGTTCCTACTTAACTTTCTGTTGGAGTTTAATGAGAACAGAAAGTGACATTTTCTCTGGGTTAACATGGCCAAAACTGACACCCAGGATTAAGAGATTTAGGGTAGTTTTGCTGTGAATACTATGATTAATCTCAGAATTGATAAAAAAGAAATATCCTCCTGAAAACCTCTTGTTGGATTTATGTGAGAGAAACAGAATGGTTTAATCCTAACCCCAACCTGATTAAAGTCAAGACAATGACCTGTAAACAGTGTGCCGGGGCCGAGTCTGTGGCACGTTTACAGGCGCCAACAAATCATTTAGAAATGTTATTTGTTTCGACTCAGCTGCAACATTAATAAATCCAGAGGGGCTGAAGGCAGAGCTAAATCACTGAACATCAGGTGTAAAATTCACTGACAAGAGTTGAATTAAAGTCATTTTCCACAATAAAGCTGCAGATTAGGGCAATAAAAAGTAGATGAGGTATGAAAGTTAAGTATTTAGTTTTGCCAAAGCGAGGCACATTAGACTGCTGCTTTTCAGTAGAGCTGATGCACACTGACAGTATGAATATGGACCATGGCATGTTTAAACCCACTGACAGGACGTGGGCTCACACAGAAGACACCGGAGGCGGGTGTTCTGAAAAACATCCAGCACTGCGTGTGCCTTGAAGTTTGCTCAAACTAGTTAGAGACTGTAGCAACTAGTTAGAGACTGTAGCATCACAAAGGTGGCAGGGGATATGCATTTCTTAAGGGAGGCTTTTTATTGTAAACCAGCTGAAAGATCACTGCATTTTTGGTTTCTCTTATTTGTTCTATATAATGAAGCATATAAGTTCCACGTCCTTTAGACCTACTGCTGCCAGGAATCGACATGGAACCCTCCCTCACCCGCTACCCTACATGCAATGAACTCAACCTTGACGATGCTCCTCGCAAGTGGTGGGTCCACGTTGAGGTGACTTCTTGTTATTTAATCTAAAAAAAAAAGTTTAGAAGGTTCTCTCAGTGGGTTCTTCTTTGTTGATCAATGAAGAACCTGTCCAGAGAATCTGCTCAACTTTTTAAAAGAGTTTTCTACCTGGATCATTGAGATCCATCAGGACTTCCTGTTATTCTTTTGACCAAGCCTCGGAAGCCAAGGCTTGCAAACCAGGCGCTTGCCAGTGAGTATATATATCTTAGTTTGACCCCTTCCCCAATCCCTGTTTGCCATGTGAGACCCTACCAGTGACCGATGCCTGAGACGACACCACACGTTAAGGTACTGATTCTTCGGAGGGGTGCATTAGACATTAGGAGAATTAGGGCGGGGAGTTCTGTCATGGTGGGGGTTCAAAGCAGAGCCGTGGCTCCTCTGCATCAAAAGGAGTCAGTTGAGGTGGTTCTGATTAGCATGCACTCTGAACGCTTCTCTTTAGAGGTGTTCCGGCTACATCCCACTAGTAGGAGGCTCCGGGTAAGACCCAGAACTCGCTGGAGGGATTATCTTCTCTGGCCTTGAAACACCTCGGGGTCCCCCAGGATGAGCTGGAATGCATTTGGAAAGCAAGGATATCTATTATATCTGAGAGCTTCTCTTAAAGTTTATTTTATGCAAGTGTGTTTTTCTGTGCAAGAACTGGGGGATATGGAATGCCAGGCTTTTACTTCATGTTTTAATTTAGCATGTGACGTGTGCACATCTGACCGACAGTCCTTCCAGGATTTGTCCTGGTTTGCACACTTTACTGAAGTGAACTGAAATTCTCCTCACTGTGTTTTCTTTCATTGGATTCCTCTCACAGATTAAATTCCCTCCCATTTCAAATGACACTTTTGCTCTCTGTGAAGTGGTAAAGACGCTTCCCTCGGGGAGTTCCCTCTTCAGGTTGTTTAAATTCACATCTCCAGTCATACAAACAGTGAGGGGTATAAAACCTGCCATGGGCTGAGCATGAAAAGAATTCACTTTTTAGATTCAGATTAAAGCCACCAAATGGGAAAAATAAATTATATGATTCAAGAAAAAAAAAGCATTTGTCTTTCCTCATCTACATGACAGGGCGAAGGCAGCGCAAACCATAAATTATCGAAACTCACACTGTTCGACTTGGGATGACATCTTTGTGTTTAATTACCGATTGGAGGAAACTCGCTTCAAACTGTCAGAGTTTTTTAAAAAAAAAATAAAAAACGATGGTTCATTTTAAATGCATCTTTTCAACCCAGAATGTTTTCTCCCTCCATTCAGCAGGGCTCTATTCTCAGACTTTGATAAACAGGCAGCTGAAGGGGAAGCTGTACACGTCGCCACTTGAATGTCACCTCATTTTGGATTAACCGGCGAAAGAAATGACTTTGAGCTCAGACCGAGGCTTTGCAGAGCCCCGCTGATGGTGTCTGCGTCTGGACATTCAGCAGACTTCTGAAAGCTGTTTCAGAATCTGAAGCAATTCACTTTTCATCCCTAATGTGTGTTTGGTTTTGTGTGGAAAAATCATACAAAAAATGTTGGACAAATAATATTTTCAGCCCTCCAGAATGACTGTGTGAAGGGGAAACCAAGGTGCTGCTGATTTTGTGTGAAATGAAGATCTTTTTGTTTTGAATTGATTATACATCTAAAGGCCCAACATTTTTTTTGCACATCTCCCACCACCTTTCATGCCAGAGTTTTTGGCATAGATCATTTTATGAAGAAAACTTACAGTTTTAACAAGTTTGCAAATAGTCACATGCAATCGTGTGAGATAGCATACCCAAAGAATGTCTCAGCTACTACCACAGCAAATTTTATCTTAATTTATGTTTAATTGAGTAATTTCTCACCACTTTTGTGATGGCAAATTTTTATTGACTGTGGCACTCATCTTGAATTGGATTTACTCCAAATGTTAATGAGTGTAAAATATATGTCTAATTATTACTTTCTGAAAGTTTCATAGAAATTTATCCAGTAGTTCTTTGGTTATTTTGCTAACAGACAAACAAGGTTGATTTCAACAGATATTAAGTTTTTTTCAAATGAGCAGTTAACACTTAAAGTATGTGTTGTGAATGAGTCTCAGCTACTACCACAGCAAATTCTATCCTAATACGTGTTAAAATTAGGGACTTATAGCCATTTTTGTGTTGGCAAATGTTGATTTGCTGTGGCAGTCACCTTGAACTGGATTGACTTCAAATGTTAATGAGTGTAAGATCTACAACTAATTATTAATTTCTGCAAGTTTCATAGAAATTAATCCTGTAGTTCAGGTGCTATTTTGTTAACAGACAAACAAGATTAATGCTTAAGTTTTAAGCAACAGTGCCATGTGATCAGTTAGCGTGTGTACAACTATACCAAATTTAGTATGCTATTTATAAAATTGACCAACTTTTAGACATTTTGTAATTTCTTCTTTTTTTCATGTCAGTTGCTTTGAATTAGTTGGCACCAAAAGTTTAATTATTTTTATTAAGTAAATCCATCGATTACATCCTTAAAGTTTGGTTAAAGTCCTGTTATTTATGATTTATTCTGTAAACAGAAAGTCAGAGCTGACTTCAGCAAGTAATACTGAAGTTTTGAGCAAATATCTTGCACCATTAGAACACAGAACATATGTTGGGGATGAGTCTCAGCTACTACCACACCAAATTTTAGGTGAATTTAAGTAAAACTGAGAGAGTTTTGCAGCCAAGCAGCCTCAACACGTTTTATACAGAAAAACAGTTCCTGTCTTGTCTGTTTGGGCTCATTACGACATGAATCACTGATAGTTAACATTTAAAAAAAAAGTGAAAATTCATCCCTCCCTCTTCAGCTCTGCATGCTAACATGTTACCTGGACGGACACCAGCAGGACACCCAGGAACATCCTCCCCCCTCTCCACAGTGGAACTCATCAGCTTTCATTTATCTGCACATGGAGCCGTGGACAACTCTGCACCCGTGTGCCGAGCGGCTTCAACTTTAATTAAGATCAAATTAGGCTTCGTCCTTCTCCCACCGGAGAGCGGCGTGTGTGCTGCCGTTCTGAAGCCCTCTCTGATAAGTGCAGCTATTTATTGATTTATTTATTTACTTATTTTGTGGGGGAACATTTGAGCCCACTGGGAAATCCCAGGTTCACCAGTTTATAATTAGGTTAATTTAGTCCGATTAGGAAGACGAGCAGGTCAGGCCTCACTGTGGGGAGAGGAGGTTTCAGAGTGGACATGATGGAGATACTGGGATGTATCATCACACATTTGAGCAAACATCCAAAATAGCTGAAGTTTTCAGCTTTTCTCACAACACTCACAAACATCATTTACATGAGCAGAACCAGACTTGGTAAACTATAAAATCACTCACTCTTCTACCAGTTAATTATTCAGAACTGTCACCTTAGTTTGAGTAACAACAATAATTGATTTTTTTAATGAAGGTTGAAGATTTCACAAAGGTGGCGTTCAGGATTTCTATGTTTTTGTTTTGTTTTTAAGCTGCGTCTAAAACTTTTATTTCCTTAAGCTACAAATATCAAACCTATTCCTTGCCTTTGTATTTTTGTGTTTAAGAACCTGAAACCAATATTCTCAAATGCCACACAGATGGCTGCACAATATTTATTGTTATTGCAGTACCATCTGTACCACAAAGTAAAATAAAAAAATAATACATCCCTTATATTTCAAATAACTTGTTTTATGATGCTCACATCTGGTTTAACTGTCAGTGAAGACAAGGAGAGCATATAAAATCTGAGTCTTCTGTTAATAAATTTTTATTTTATTTATGGTAAACATGTATTTTTGTTGTTCTAGAATGGAAAAAAAAGCTTTCTGGAAGCAAAGGTTTTGTGTAGGATATTTATAGAAACCATGAAGCTAAAATCATTGTTTGGATGGAAAAATTAGCTCTTTTTAACAATTTTTGGAGGTATTAAGTTTCAATTGGTGAATCAGACAAATAGATGATTTGAAAACATTAGTTTGGACTCTAAGAACTCTTTTTAAAATCAAGTTAGCACAAAAAGTAAGGACAGTTATGTTTGATTATTTCTTTGTTGGGGTTGGTGTCAAAAGCAACAACAAAATAAGATATTTGAAGATTTGGCTAATTTTATATGCACAACCTGCTGCTCATTTACCAAATGCATGTTCCTTATAAATGTAGCACCGTTTAAAATGGAAATTATGGTATTCTACCAAGAAGCATTGTTACAGCAAAGAAATAATTTACCAAACACTTTCTTTACTTTTTGTGCTATATTTGACAAATAAAGACAAACTAATGAATAACTTCTCAACAGAAAATCCAATCTTTGAAGCTGTTGCTCTGAAAAATTGGACTTTTGTTGAGTTTGAAATTTTAATATTGCAATATTATTGAAATAACAAAATATCACCATCTAATGTGGTCATGGCTGCAACTTCAGATGATAGCTATCACTTTCCATCAGGCGACCTATTAATAATCTGTGGTGCAGTTTGATCCTCCTGTCTGCATTTTACTCCTTTGACGCACAGACATCATTAAAATTATCAGAGTGTCAGACTCCCTCACTTATCTCTGTCTCTGTCTGTGCCTCTGTGAGAGGAAACATAAAATTGCAGCAGCATCACACAAGAACGCACCGCTGTGATGGCTCTGGTTCTGGTTCTGGTTCTGGTTCTGCGCCTCGCTTCTCCTCGCCTGGCTGCAAACCTCCTGAGCCCTCAGATGCTGAGAGATGATGGCGCAGTCCGGATGAATTGCATCCCCCTGAACACAACACACAGCCAGGTTATCTACAGTGGTGCAGATCGTTTCTTATTATTGAAGTGGCCATGACGCGTAAAAGGGGGGCGGTGACACATTAAAAAAAATAAAAAAATACAATCAAAAGAAACAGTTTTACATAGTTCTTGGGTATTTATATTTTCTCAAGTAATTTTGACAAAGAAACATCTGAAGATGAGGGTTTTTTTTTTTTTTTTTTTTTTTTTTTGCCAGCTTATCTTTGCAAAGTCGTGCGCAAATCTTGAAGACAGCTGCGCTTTCCTGTGATTCCTGTTTTTGGATTTTCTCCTCCGTGTTTATCCTGCTGGTGCTGCCTTTTGATTGATGGATGCAGGTGGATGGGATAGCGGCTAATTAACGGGGCCCGCGGCGTTAATGAGGACTCCGGCTGTCCGAGTGCCCCCCACCCCCCGGAGGGATTCAGGGGGACTCCGGACAGGAAAGGTTAACAACGTTACAGACGGGATGTCACTGCAGATTGTCCCTGATTAACAATGTTGCTTTTATACGTTTGGCACAACTTTTAACGCACTTTGTTTATTTTTTGTACCCTGTTTTTTTTTTGTTTTTTTTCTGTGAATGAATAAAAAATGACTCACCATCGGCTTTGACCACAGCTGGAGGTAAACGATGAGAAGGAGGACTTTCTCATGCCGTCCCCTCAGCCCAGGACCGCTCATCTTCTGGACGCTCCGCTTCAAATCCCGCATCTGACGGGGTGCGCAAAACCCCAAGCGCGCGCGTTCCTCTGCGCCTCTGCAAGCCTCGCTGCTGCTCTAAATGAAAATCCACTCTCTCATCCTAAAATAGACGGAGCACCGGGTCTTTCATGCCAGCTTCAAAGTTGAGGGAGAGGATGCTCTCTCTCTCTCTCTCTCTCTCTCTCTCTCTCTCTCTCTCTCTCTCTCTCTCTCTCTCTCAGGCTCTCTCTCTCTCTCTCTCTCTCTCTGAGTTCAATCAGATGAAGGAGAAGCTCCACCAGGACGACTCAGAAAACAAACAGCCGGTGGCCTCATTTCAAGTCAGAGTTTCAATTATTTGGAAATGACGCAAGAAGCTGGTGAAGATGTAACCATTAACTGATGTTGAACTCAACCAGTCAGAAACAGTCAAAACATGTCATCATCATCATCATATTTGTTGTTGGATATTTGTTAATGAAATGCCAAACAAATTTCCATAAATGAAGCTTCTTAACTGTTCATGAAATGAGATTTATTATTTGACATGTTACAAATCAGGTTTTAACAAATATTTAATAATTGATTTGTTCAGTTTGGACAGTTTTTATTTCTTCCATGTAAATAAAATTGGTAATGAGTTTGCTGGTATGGCCAACAAATCTCAACGCACAATTCAAAAGCAATTTGCACCAGAGAAATTGGAATTTTCTGCAAAATAACCACGATAGGCTGAGTGGTGCACAATCAAAATGTGTTGAAAAAGGCAGCTAAGCTAACAGAATGTTGCTGGTTTTTACACCCTATAATTTTTCATGGTGTTTGCTGCAAAACTTAACATAAAAATGTTTTTCTGAAGAAAAAATGTTTATATGCAGTGAGTAGAATAACATTTTTAAAATTCAGAGTCCCCCCCCCAAAAAAAGAAGACACCTTAAGTTAAATGTTTGAGTGCATTGACTAAAAACTTTTATCGTCACCCAACAACAGAATGTATTAAGTTTAAGAAACATAAAAAGTTACTTTAATGACTTAGAAAAGACTTTTGCAAGGATCTTAGTGAGTAAGATGTTAAAAAGTAAATTAGAGAAACTTAACAAATGTAATTTGTCAGCCTAATATTACCAAAAAAAAAACTAAATAAATATTGGGTCGAAGTAAATCATGTTGGTTTGCTAAACCAATTGAGTTAACCAAACATAATGTGTTTCTTAAAGGCAGATGGTAACTTAAAAATATTGTTGTAATAATTTCCACTCAGCTTTTTAAGTTGAGCCAACAAAATATTTTTAAATGTATAAAGTAACAAAGAGCAAAAACTTTAGAAACTTTGTTTATCTAAATTTTGCTTGAATAATTTCAGACAACTTTTCACTTCTAGGTGCTTTATTTGTCATTAACGCATGTTCCCTTTGTGCTCTGCATTTGACCCATCTCACATGAGAAACACCCAAGTGGAGCAGCAGGCAGCTATGTGAGTGCCCGGGGAGCAGTAGAGGGTCTTGCTCAAGGACAACACAACATGTGGGAATGGAGGAGAGTCGAACCTGTGACTTTCTGGTCCTAAGTCGGCTGCCCAGGTTGTCTGTACATTCTACTCCTTACATAAAAAAAGTAAAAAATCGATCTTGCTATTTCAGTTTACATTCTGACTTTTTTTTAAAGAAAAAAACCTTGAAACCCGTCCAGTTAAATCATGCCTCCTGTACAAAGTGAATTTAACTCTGGTTGGATGAGAAGTATACCCAACACCCTACTGGATTGTACTAGATCCATCACACCTGTATGACACAATTCATGTCACACTCCAGAAGGACCTGTAGCTTGTGAATATGACCTAGATGTGTAGCTGAGACAGGTAGCTCAGTGGAGTCCAAAATTTTCAATGTTAACATTTTAAAATTAAAGTCATTATGACCTTTAGAAAAATGTTTTTTGGGGAGATCACCCCCTAATAAATGTCATTTTGGAAATTATAACTATTCGCTTTTACTTTTAATACTTAAATAACCCTGCATGTCTCCAGTCCATCACTGGGCCACAGATACAAACAACTGTGGTTATTCCGTATGTTGCGGGTGTTTCGGAGAAACTGAGACATTTATTTTCTAAACATGATGTCCCAGTGGCTTTCAAACCCCAAAACACATTACGGCAAAGACTGGTTCACCCCAAAGATCCGGTTCCCCGGCACAAACAGAGCAATGTTGTATATGCTGTTAAGTGCCAGGAGGACTGCGACCAGTTATACATCGGGGAAACAAAGCAGCCACTGTTCAAAAGAATGTCCCAACACAGACGAGCTACATCTAATGGCCAGAACTCTGCAGTTTTCACTCATTTACAGGCCAGCGGTCACTCTTTCAGAGATGAGGATGTTCTCATTCTTGATAGAGAGGAACGTTGGTTTGAGAGAGGAGTAAAAGAAGCCATTTTTGCGAAGAAAGACGGTCCATCGTTAAACAGAGGTGGAGGCCTCCATTTTCAGTTGTCCCCCTCCTACAGTGCTACTATTGCCAGTATCACTCCACCCCCTGTTAACAATAGGTGTTAATTAGGTGTCAACAATAGCCATGTGATGTGAGTATCAGTCACATGGAGGCAGTGCTTAAAAGCCTGAATTTTGCCTGAAACTCTCAGACTGAAGAAGTCTCTTGGAGAAGAGACGAAACGTTTCATTAGAGAAGAACCCGTCCAGAAGACCTGTACATTTTTTTCTTTTTTTTTTTACAAACAACTATTTACTCGGTCACACCTATAGGGATTATTTAGAGTTACCAAGTAGCCTGACGTTCATGTTTTGGTCTGTGGGAAGAAAATGGAGTACCTGAAAACCCACACACGCACGGACAGGATTTGCAAACTCTACCCAGAAACGTCCTCGGCCGGGGTTCAATCCAGCAACCTTCTTGCTGAAAGGTAACAGCTCTACCAAGTGAGCCACTGCGCCTCCCTATTTTGTTTCATTACAGAACTAAATCAGAATTGTTGTGTGTTTCACATCTCGTTTCCATTTAAATCTGAGCCGAGGTTAAACAAGCTGACTCTGCATCAACTGCATTAGCATCCAGGAAAATTGGGCACCTGCCCTGAAGCCCAAGAGATTGATTAACTGTGATTTCTGCTTTCCAGATCCTTTGGGTTTGTTGTGTTACACAGCCACCTGGTCTGTGGTTACTTATAATAATGATAAACTAACAAAGGGATAAAAGACATAAAAGAGGGAACTGGTGGGTCAATTTTTGTTTTCATTTTCCTTCATAATCTTTGCTCTAATTTTCAGAGCTTGTCACTACATTAGTTCAAGTGTTGCACTTTTAACTTCTCTTAGGTTTTGATTTGTTTATGTGAGGTTTTAAAATATTTCATGAGATGATTTTGATCTAAGCAAAAAAATGTTCCTAAAAGGCAAAATAAAAACATAGACACACCAAATAATCCAGTGGGAATTAAACAGGAGAATAATAAAACCAAATTTAGAGTTTCAGCTAAAACAATCATCGCCCCGAGGCATTCAGCTGTCCACCTTTTTTATGTTATCATAAAACATATGTTCAGTGCCTTGAGATGCAACATACCATATCTTATGATTATAATTATAGGCTCATTAAATATAAATTGTACAAAACTGAATATCTGTGGAGTAAAAGTCCACAAATACTGAACAGAGGGAAACCAGGACAGGAAGACAGGAGTTTCTTTTGTGTGTTATTCTTATGATATAAGCTTTTTATTTTATTTTTTATTTTTGTTTGCATGCTCGTTACATTTTATGTCATTTTCTTTTGATTTACAGCAGCTTAAAAGGCAGCAGAGTGGCTTTTACAACAGCAGGCATTTTGTGCTGAGCAATTCACAAACGGGGTCAAATCACTCAGTTTCCCATTGTGAATGTAGATCAGGACAGCGCTAAACCGGTCAAACCTTTCCCCTGCAGAATACCTTTCAAGAACAACAATGTCGGCCTCGACCTTCAAGCACCTTTCCAGGACCGCTCTGTGCATAAACTGCAGGAACATCTCGTAGCAGATGTTTTAACAAAGAGCATCCTCTCAATCGGCGGAGGAGAATAATTGTAATTATGCTCAAGAAATTTCAGACGCGAATCAGCGTCTCAGAAGAAACGACCCACTCTGCAAGAATCTGAATGATTTCAGGTCATCAGGTTCACAAAAACATGTTGAGAACATGATTGCATAACATAGTTTATTTTCTGCATGAGTTGTTGTTTTGCTTTGAAACATTACTTGTGCTGTTGTCTTCAGGCTCACAGAAATTAATGGTTTAAAGTTGAAGCTGGATCAAGTGTAGTCTTCATTGGGTGCTTGGTTTATTAATTAAGAGCTCACAAGGAAAATATTAGCTGACATGCCTGAATTACTGCCTACAATTGTAAAATTATTGCTCAAAGTAAATAACCTTCAAGAAAGATATTTTCCTCTTCAAATCAGTGTTGGTTTCCTCACAAAATAATAACAACAATAAGAAGAAGAAATTCTAATTTGTAATAAAAAAGTTGGTGGAGGCTGCTAAATGAATAAATCTTGTTGGTTGAAAATGTTGGTGTTCTTCCTCCGCTGACCCATAAATAAGTTGGGATGTGTTGTGAGTCAGGTCTTGCTCTGAAAACCCTAAATATGTATCAGATTTGGTCTGAGAGCACAGCTTTGTTTTAGCTCCACACAGGCATAATCACCGGAGCAGAAAGAGTGTTGTTTATTCAAGCATTTTACACTCAAACATCTCTTTTTGCACACTTTAGACCTCTGACCAACACTGTGAACTTTTGAAACTGGTGCCATTTTTTTCATGTTACAAAGAAAAAGTGATGAGACTTGCAACAGTGATTCAGCAGTTGAACAGGACGGTTAAAAGTTTACACTGTTTTGGACTGGACTGAACTTCAACCTGCGACATTGTATTTTGCTTTCAAACAAAAAAGGGGTAGCTCTCTTGTTGTGAATGAATATTAAATTGTTTGATCTTTAAACTGTTCTTAGAAAGTATCATTTAACTGATATTCAGTAACACATAACCTGTTGTGAGTTATGGAGAAAAGGAAACAGGAAAACGTTGATTCTTTAATTCACTGTGAAAAAATGAAAAGAATAAAAACTACAACATGGCTGGGTGTGGGGGGTGCATGAAGCTCAAAACAAAATCTACACATTTTCTTGTTGTATCAATGTTTAAAATTTTTATTGGAAATTAAACATTTTCAATCAAAATTGTGACCGACTTGGCAATCCCACAGATTTATATAGCCTTTATATCTATGGGCAATCCTGGCAAAAGCTACCGTCAACTTCCGTGTTTGTTCCAAAGCATCATGGGAAATGAAGTTGTTTCATCAAAATGGATCATACCAACTGTAAAATACGCTTGGAGCTAAAATTAAAATCCCCTATCGTGTCAGAAAAAATTAAGGTTTGGATTATAGATTATGTACATGAACATTATTGTTTAATATTTAGAATAAAACGTAGATAACTGAAGAAATTTCTTACATCTCCCCCCCTCTGAAACGGAAGAGTGGCGGCTGCCCGTTAAAGCCCGTCCTTTACTGTCGGATTACAGCTGTGGCAGCACGCAGGTTGACAATCACTAGGCCATAAAACGTCGAATAAAACCAAAAGTAAGTGAGCTAAAGTTTAATTTTATGATTCGGAATATCCTAAAAAGTGTGCTGTTTGTAAAAGTCAGGAAGTTTTCCGACTTCAAATTTACTTTGCGCCACGTGGCAAATCAACAAGTTGGTGGGGCTGTCAGAAAACTTTACCTGCAGAAATGGAGACAGTGCACTTTTTATTATTGTTATATATCAGTTTCTCCTGTTTGTTGCTAGTATTAGGACTAAATAAATCACCTTTTGCAGTGTTGGTGGTACATTTGATCTTTATTTCAGGAAGGGTTTAACTTTATTTCATATTAACTTTATTTTCCTGCACATTTTTCCCTCTTACTAAAGGTGAGTATTGAGATAGGTGGTATTTGCAGACTTTTATTTTACAAGTTTGAACTCAGCTGCCAGTTTAATCCAAATTGCTTAAATCTATGCGGTATACTGCAAAAGTCTTGTAAAAAAAAAACGTTTTATTTCTCTTCTTTTTCCACATTTATAGTCCTAATTTTAAGGGTAAACCTGCTTAAGCATCTCTGAGAAGCCTGTGTAGGATTACAAGTCTTTTAGGAAAACTCGTTAATCGATTAAAATCAGTTGTAAAGTAACTAAGTGCAAATACTTTGTTACTGTACTTAAGTAGAAATTTTGGTTATCTGTACTTTACTTAAGTAATTATTTTTCAACGTGCTTTTTACTTTTACTCATTACATTTTAACACAATTATCTGTACTTTCTACTCTACATTTTTTTAAAAAGGTAAGAAGTAGAAAGTCGTAACTCCTCTATTTTATTCCAAGTTGTTATTACTTAAAAAATACTATCCTGATGAATTGTGTTTCCTGGATAGAGTTAATTTAATTGTGGTTGGATGAGAAGTATAAATATATACAATTCTGACACCCTTTTAGTTTGTACACAACCCATCACAGCTGCACACTGTTAGAAAAATGTTTTTTGGAGAAGTCGCCTCCCAATAAATGTCATTTTGGAAAATCTAACGGCTCACTTTTACTCAGTACTTTTACTTTTAACACTTAAGTAGATTTTTTGTCAGAAATTTACTTTTGATAATTAAGTACAAAAAATATCAGATACTTTAAGACTTTTACTCAAGTAATATTTTAGAGAAGACTTTAACTTTTACCAAAGTATTTTTATGATAAGATACTTGTACTTTTACTCAAGTATCACTTTGAAGTACTTTATACAACACCGTCTTAAATCAGTTTTATTTTAAAGTTCAACATAAGCAGATGCTTTGCATTTTGCTTAGGTGCTAAACTGTTTCTGACTTATAATTTAGTCTAATTATAATAAACGGGTGCCAGCATTATCCCAAAAAAAGTTGACTGGTTTAAGACTTGATCACTATAATAATTTTGGTTTATTGTTCAGAATAAGTTGGCATTTGAGACTGCATCTGCACTAACATGGTTTCATGTTTTCATTTTATGCATAACATGAATTGTCTATTTCTTTTTTATTTTTTTGTGCGCCTTGCTGTTTATAGCATTTTCATTTTATATGCCTTGAAGTTTGATTTGTGTAGTAAATGCTTTCAATTACACTAGTATTGAATTCCACAGCGTGCATTATCCTCCCAACATGCCAAAACAAAGGTGAGCGCCGCTGCCTGCTGCACAGGTGGGCTTCATGGATGTTTAGGAAGGGGCATCTTGTCACATTCATTAGCAGTGTTTCCTCTGTGTGTGAATGGAACAGCTTTGTTCTGATGAACTCCTGCCAAAAAGCTGGAAAATATTTGTCCTGCCGAACTGTTTAATCATAAAATCACATTTTATAGAAAGGAGAGAGAAATACACACACTGAGGAAACACTGCAAGCACTTTTAACTTTAATACTGACCAGTTTATCAGTCATGAGTGGTGTCGTGTTGCAGTTTTGCCTTGCTTGTTCATTTGCTTTTTCAAAGTCCAGTGTCGGAATGATCCTTGATCCATTTTTGAGGCTTGTTTCAAAAGCTGCCAAGTTTATTCTTGAAGCGATCCATTCTGTTAGAGATAAATAACTGGTAACTTCATCGTCTTGATCAGACTGCATCCCATTTCAGCTGCTTTCAAAGCTTTCTTCTAATCAGCATGTTTCACTGTGATGCTAACGTCGCCCTAAAATATCATTTCTAGTTTCTATCTTTTCTCTCTTTTACAACTTCAATACCCAAGTCGGTAGAGAAGACGCCCCCTTTAGTAAAGAAATGGACAAAACTCCTCAGCAGAGAGAAGTCCCTCAGGGTGCTGTCCCAGTCGGGGCCTTCAGGCAGGGCAACGTTCCCACGGTGGAGCGAGGAATCATCAGTGGAGACAACGTCCAGTTTGGGCGGCTGCGACATCGCTCGCGTTTGTCCCAGTCGGAGAGCTCCGGCGCCGAAGACGAGCGGCTGGGCTCCTCTGTGGAAGCGAGCGGCGTCTACGGTCGAAGCCCTGTCCTGCAGGGCCTGCAGGCCGAAGCCGTGTGGTACAACCGCAACATCTACGAGCAGGCAGAGGGTAACTACCAGCGGCGGGTGGCTTCTAACGGCAACGGACCCCTGTCGTCTTCTCCGCGGAGTCCAAACGCAAGGGGAAGCTTGACCTTCCACTCCAGACGCAGCCAGGACCCACAGCCGGATCAGGGGCCTGCCGTCGTCACTGTGAAGGCTTCCGGTACCCCTCACCGTCAGGCAGGTAGAGGTCGAAATCGCACCGCCTCTGAAACTGAGCCGGGGAGCAAAGGCAGCAGGGGGGCGCACCCGAGGAAGAGAGGCTTCTCTGAGACGGAGAGCAGGCCGAGATGGGACAAGTACGACACCTCCCACACAGAACGTGATGTGTGTTCGGCTTATTTAACAACTGTGATTATTTATGTCTGCAGTATTGTGTTTTTTGCTTAAGGTGTGCTAATTTCTGTTTAAACTTATAGAATTGTCAAACATTAGTTCCACATGTTGAGTAGAAAGTGTTTTTAAAAGGAGATTTGTTTTTTATTTTATTTCAGAGTACAACAATAAAGTGGGTGTTTTATTTTACACAGGCTTGGTAGGCCGCAGCCAACCTTTTGTTTCCATAATCCAGACTTTGCAGACAAGGCAAATCTGTTTGTTTGAGCAACGTGTGGCTTTCTGCTTCAGTAACCATTTGCAAGTGAAGGGGGTGAAACATGTCTAGTTAATATATTATCATTGGTCACCATAAACTATTCTGAGCTTATTGTTAGGTTTATAAATACCAGAAATTGTCTGTTGGACTTAATCTCATCCCATCAACACGTCTGCCCGTGGCTGCATGGCGCCGTAACCTTTCCTGTGGCAAAGTCACAGCCAAGCAGCTAATAAAGCCATGTTTTGTTGCTGAGATCCTGTCCCTGATTTGTGCTGCTTGTAACAACTAAACCTTTGCCACGACTGTCGAGCAAGACCAGCTGTCAGAATATTTACATCGCCCTGCATACTGACGCGTTTTCTTTCCTCCTCAGCACCAAAATGAGTGGACTGCAGTGCCTTGCCACAGAGAACATCTGGTTCGACAAACACCGCTACGACGAGGCGGAGAAGTGCTTCTACGAGGGAGCCAATGGTCCTACCACTCTGCAGCAGCAGGTAGAGCTTTCACTCAAAATATCTTAAAAGTTGTTGTTTTTTTGTGATACGTTGATGGGTTCACGTGTTTCCAGTCCTTTCAGTGAACTGAAGTGTGTTAGTGGCTGCACAGCTCTCTTGTCAGTGCCCTGTAGGTTTGGACAGTAGTCGTGTCACCGTCTGCCACAGTTCTCAGCAGCCCCGAGCAGCTGTCTGCTTGTTGGTTAAGGCTCTCGATTTAGAAGTGGCTTGTTGTAGTGAGGGGTCAGGTGATTCAGCAGCTGCCTTGGCTTGTCACATCGACTGAGATCTGAGTTCCTACACAGACCCGGGAAGAAGTGAGAGAAGATATAGCTTGTTCTGTTACTGAGTTAAAGCACTACATGCGGCTGCACCTGGGAAATTTATATATTGTCATTTTTGCTTTTGCTCTTTCATTTAGAAACAAAATGTCAGTTTTTTATCATTAGCCATTAAAGTTATAGTTGTAGTAAATCGATTTTTCTTTTATTTGAAGATGAGCTGTTCAGAAAGTTTTCTTGACCAGAGCTGAAAAATGAGCAAAAAAATAAATTCTGCATGTTGATGAGAATTTAACAGCCTCAGCTAAAGGTCTTATCAATGACTAATTGCTCAGGAAAATAAAGCCCRGTTAATATGATGCCCACTTTGCGTTAAACCATAGAATTTCTGCTGCAGTTCTGCCATTTGTGTACATCACTGTCCTTTTCTAGTAAAGGTTTTTGACACCACAAACCTCATTTTACAACCTTCCTCTTCTGGGAAAGTGTACCCTCACACAGCTCGTGATAGTTCAGGTCAATATACAATCAACAGTACATTATTTCATCATTTCCTGTCTAGCTATTGTTCATATGTAAACAGAAATTAAGAATGAATGACTGACATCATGACTGTAAACAGTGGAGAATTTAAATGCCAAAACTGGATTTGCTGATAAATGCATCATGTACTGTTGGTTGACCTTTGGTGAAAGAAATTCAACTTTATTTTGTATTATGGAGAAATAAAAAGAAAACTATTTAGAGCCTGATTTTTAAACTAAACAGTCAATTTATAGTTTTAGTGAGCCTCTCTAATTGAATAACTGATTTTGCAAATTCTGAAAGATCCATATAATTCATAGTAATATTCTTGTTCTCCGTAATATGGTCTAAGCCTAATGTGAGGCAATAATTAAATTTTGTGAAGCAGAATTAAGCATGTTACGATAATAAATTTTGCTGGATTGTCATAAATTATTGTGATAAACATGATCGTAGACCATTTTTATTAATATAATGATAGCCGTTTACGACGCTTACAGCAGTTGATATTTACGTACGTTTGTGGGGGTGGGGGTGGGGGTTACAATCAGACCGGGACTGGAGATTGGTAAAACCACACACGACAGCTGCTAGAGATGTAACATAGCTTCCCACCTCCTCCCATCCAAGCTGGCATCATTTATTTTGTGTCTTCCACTGGCTTCACATAATAATTGCAGTCACTGTCATGCCGCTTATGAAATTTACGGAAGTTTACAAACAGGGATGCACCGATATGAAAATTTCAGCCAATATCCGAAATAATTATTGCTGTTATGATTGATAACCTGTATTTAATGATATTACACAAACACACAAATTATATTCTACATATGCGCACAAACACACTCGGGTCTTCTCTTGATACCGTAAAAAAAAATGACCAGGCCTCTGACATGGCTCCCTACTTCAGTTATTCCTGGCTGTGCAGCATCAATATCACTATCATGATCAAACAGATGCTGCTCAACCAACCATCTCCCCTCTCAAAACAGAAACACAAAGATAAAAAGTGGGAAATTAATATCGGATGTTAATATCGGCCCAGTTTTACATATCAGACTGACCGATACGATATTCTTAAAAAATGACCAATATCGGCCGATATTGATATTAATGCCGATCTATTGTGCATCCCTATTTACAAAATTTGTGTAGTGTTTAATTTAAAAAAAATATACTCTCAGTGAACCCAAGGTTCAATTTATCCTGCGATAAATTGATTTTTCTTTAAATTAATTAAATTTTTTGGTTATTGCAGCAGGCCTAAACATTGACCTATCTGGATTTAACATTTTAGTCCGTATTTGATGTCACGGTTGCTTTTCTGACAAATTATTTTGAAACTGTTTAAAAAAAAAAGAAGAATTTTATGTGGAATATGCAGAGTCTGGTTTTTGTGTTCTCATTTTACCTTGTACTTTACTGAGGGGGGGCAGATGAAAGCAGCCCAGCAGCCAGTTAAAGGGCGCCAGCAGAAACGGCAGCACAGAACTGTAAGTTTCTCCACGGTGGGCTTTGCTCTTCAGGTCTGAGAATGCTGCATGACTGACATCCTGACTGCGTCTTCTGCTGCCTGCCGTCGAGCATGTTAGTGTTAGTACAACATGAAGCTGTTGTTTGGAAAATGCTCAGTATGAGGGACAAGGTTCTTTTCCTTTGTGTGAAAACCATTAGGACAGTTTGTCTGCATGGGTTTGTTTCTTTAAACGTCACATTTTTAGTGCTCGTTTTTTTTTTCTTTAGATGTAAAGATAAATCTGAACTTGGATATTAGCTTAGTAAATACTGCTTTTCTGATGTTTTTTACATAACTTGTACTTATCAGGTTTATCTTCCCACAGTCATCTTCACACTCAGGAGACCAGGAGCTGGTTGCACGCATGAAGAGCCTGGAGCTGGAGAACCAGACTCTGCACAAAGGTTGGTTTGTGTTTATTTGGTGACTGAAATCCACCAACAACAATGTGCTTCTCCATGCCGGAGGTGCTGCTCTTTACCAGAGATTAACAGTAATACTTTGTTGCATGTCACAGTGGTGGAGGAGATGAGGGCAGCTTTGCAGAAGCTGGAGTCCAGAGTGGTTGTCCTGGAGAAGTCTCCTGCACCAGCAGCTGTCCCATGTGCTAAGGTAAATAATAATTAATGTAATATATTCTAAAATCTCTGCAGCTGCATGAGCAGTCATTTCATTTACATCAATGTTATGATTGAAAATGGTAAATATCCTTTTGATAAGTTTGTTTCCATGTTTTGTTTTTTTTATGGCTAGGCCGCTCCAGTCCAGGCAGCTCCAGTCAAACAGGTGAAGGTGGAAAATAGTGATGACGATGATGACATAGACTTGTTTGGCAGTGATGAAGAAGATGAAGAGGCAGAGCGCCTCAAGCAGGAGCGTCTAGAAGCCTATGCAGCCAAGAAAGCCAAGAAACCTGCTGTCATTGCCAAGTCCTCCATCCTGTTGGATGTCAAACCTGTATGTACATTTCTGAACTCTGTTTTTGTTGGGATGAAAATTGACAGTTGAATCTTAGGCTAACGTGTAGAAGAGAGGCTGTAAACAACTAGTGTTCTGATTTATATTTTTGGTCTTTCCTCCCCCCGTGTTTCCTTCAGTGGGATGATGAGACCGATATGGCGAAGCTGGAGGAGTGTGTGCGCTCAGTGCAGATGGATGGGCTCCTGTGGGGAGCTTCAAAGCTGGTTCCAGTCGGTTATGGTATCAAGAAGCTGCAGATCAACTGTGTGGTTGAGGATGATAAAGTTGGCACAGATATCCTGGAGGAAGAAATCACCAAGTTTGAGGACTATGTAGGTTATATTCACTTATTTATATCCACCTTTTTTTATTACCTGCTCCACTTTCATTTTTGCTGTCATTCTTTACATGGTGGACAAAGAATAGAGGTAATTGGCAATAAAAAGGTGTCAGGACAGTAGCACACCCAGGAAAGCAGGTTTCATGTTCACATTACATGGACAGCTTTAACCTGGTTACTGTTCTTTTTAAAGTAGAGCAGTGAATTGTGAGCGTCACAAGATTTAAATTGATTCAATTATAACTTTCTTCTACAAATTAAGTAAATTGTTTTGCATTAAAATTGAAACCACTCTGTTTAAGAAAAAAAAGGCACTCATTTTAAGAAAAAAAGGCACTCTTAAATGAAACTTTATTTAAATTAACTTTACATAAAATGAGTCAAACTTTCACTTAATACAAAAGTTAACATTTGATTTCTTTCTCTACAGGTCCAGAGTGTTGACGTTGCTGCTTTCAACAAGATCTAAGCTTGATTTACCAAAGTCTTGCTGCTACTTGTTCAGTTATTAAAAAGCTGAGTTGTGAGCAATAACTTGTCTGTTTCATTATTGTTTTCAAAATAACAACACCACCTGTAAACTACTCCCAAAACTGCATTCTTAAAGGGAAGACAGCTTCAAGGTAGAACCCAACCCCACCCAAAACCCCGGGTACACAGGCTGGGTGAACGTGATTCTCTCTTTATGAATAGGAACCATTGAATTTGAAACATTGTAGAAAGCTAAAGTTCCACCCGTGAAGTCCAGATACACTCCTATTCTGCTACTGCAGGGGACGGTGATGCTCACGCTCTCCTTGTTGTGCTGAAACGAGCAGACTTTGTTGGCGCAGTCCAGGCTCCAGGATTTGGAGTTGTGGCCCAGCTTGCAGTCACTCCCTCCCCCGATCCGGTTCATGCTTTTGTAGCACACGCCGATGGAGACCCCTCCGTTTCCGGCCCACTCCACCTCCCAGTAGCACCGCCCGGCCATCCCGGCTCTGCACAGCACCTGGGCCCAGCTGGTGAAGCGGTCCGGGTGGTCAGGGTAGGGCTGCGGCTCGGAGCGGGTCGTCACTGCTCTCCGCCCTTCGGAGAAGCTCAGGTAGAAGTTGGCTGTGTTCGGGTCCAGAGTCAGGTCGTTGTAATCTGGAGAGTGCATTTATGGGTTATTACAGGTTTATAACAACATAATGAAATATAAGAACTGGACTCACATTGTAGAAAATCAGTTCTCGTCTTTGGTTCAGTGTTATACGAGATGTCTGCGTCTTTAACTGTTAAATTTGGAAAAGATGAGTTAATTTAATTTCTTTCCCCAATTTTAAGCTTTAATTCTGTACCTTTAGTTTTATCAGCCGTCTTCAGGTTGCTGCTTTCCTTTAGTGAGTTTGCTAAAAATTCAAAGAAACAAAATCATAAACGTTCAAAACTATCTCCACAGAAAGCAGCTGCTACAATAGATGTACCTTTATCTGATATTCTGTTGAAATCTTTGCTGAGTGTTTCGTCCAGGCTCTCCTTCAGATCAACCAGGTCATCTCTCATGGTTTTATACATCAGATACGTCAGAGCGTCTGTGTTTGGCATCTCCACCGTCTTTGAAGGGAAATGAAGACTCTTGCACTTCTGCAGATCAGAGCAAATCTTTACTAACAAAATATTAACATTTACACTGTTTTTTTCCTAGTTGGAATATAAAACTTCAGATTATTGTTCCACAGACCTACTACAGGTTTTCATGATTGCTTTCATGCACCAGTCAACTCAAACTTCACATTTTCAAAAAGGTGTAAACACAGGCCTAAACTGTGGCAGTGCTGGTCAAAGTGATGCATTTTGTTTGCAAAGCATTAAAAAAAATCTGAAACAAAAGCACACATTGCTTTCAAACGACGTGATGCGGGCGTTGTACCGGTCTGTCGTGGTGAAGCAGTGGCTCAGCTCCCAGTTTACCAGTCAGTCTATGTTCCTACCCTCATCTATGGTCACAAGCTTTGGGAAGTGACTAAAATAACAAGATYGCAGATACAAGCGACCAAAATGAGTTTCCTCTGCAGGGTGTCTGGGTTCTCCCTTAGAGATAGGGTGAGAAGCTCATTCATCCGGGAGGGACTCAGAGTAGAGCCGCTGCTCCTCCACGTCGAGAGGAACCAGTTGAGGTGGGCATCTGGTTAGGATGCCTCCTGGATGCCTCCCTGGTGAGGTGTTCTGGGCATGTCCCACTGGGAGGAGGCCCAGAGGAAGAACCAGGACACACTGGAGGGACTATGTTTCTCAGCTGTCCTGGGAACACCTTGGGATTCCCCCAGATGAGCTGACCCAAGTGGCCGTGGGGAGGAAAGTCTGGGTCTCTGCTTAGGCTGCTGCACCTGCGACCCGACCCCAGATAAGCAGAAGAAAACGGACGGATGGACTTGCAACCAAATGTCTGAGCTCTTCCAATCAATCATTAGATAACAGACAAAATGCAGCACTCGGTGAATCATTTCTCATCTTTGTAGTCCATTACATCGCTTTCATGCTATTTATCTTTCTACAAATTTCTGTCAAACGTTCCTTCTTGCAAAAAAAACAAAAACTGGATCTAGTATCAGAAATGCTTTGATGCTAATTTTACTGATTCTGTGACTTTTTTTTCCAAACTATGGCTGAAAACTGAAATACTGTAAATATTACAGTAAATACTGTAAATGTAAACTAAAGTAACCATCAGAAGAACTTATATTAACAGTTGCCCGATTTTCTTCAGGAACTTGAACCCTTCCAACTACACCTCCAGCTCACACATTGACTTATCTTCCTCAGATCCCTTCACCTCTCTTTCTCATCAGTCCTATCCAGCATTGGAATTGAACTGACAACTCTCTCAGAGGAATAACTCCCCTAACCACTCCTCTACACAGCTGCCCCTGATCCAGGTAACCTCTAACAACTGAGAGTTCAAACTCCTAAAACAGTGGAGTTTGGACTGCATGAATGTGTTCACTGTTTTACAAAAGGAGAGTAGATCCAATGAGAAAGGGTTAACACATTTACAAGAGATGTTTCCTGCTCTGCTGAAATACTGTTGCTGAAACAAGCCGGTCAAAGCAATCGAGAAAAACTAATTTGCTTTCAGACCTGAAGGAAGTAGATGTCGTCCGTGTGAGCAAGCCTCTCCAGCTCAGCCTCGGTCCTCCTGAGCTCCTCTATGTCCCTCTGGATGACCTCCAGCACCTCCTCAGCCTGACCGACCACCACTCTCTCCTGGATTCTGAGCTGGTCTTTCACCTCGTTGCTGTGCTTCTCGATGGATCGGATCAGTTTGGAGAAAACCCTCTCACTTTCCTCCACCACGGCCTCCGTGGCGTGCTGTGAAGGTTAAAGTTATTGCGCCGCTCTCTCTCGCTGGTAAACAGCAACACATTAAAACTATCCTTACAGGAAAATGCACTCACCTTGATGTATTTGATGACGAATCTCAGTTCCTTCTCGGTGTCTCTCAGCTTCTGCACAGACTTCAAAGAGGTTTCCTTAAGTTTCTTCTACAAGGACACGACAGATTAACGTCTCACGGGGTGCGCTCTCCTGCTGCTCCATGGAATAATAGTCTACGGTTTGCTTTCAAGGAGGAACATTTTGATTTCACAGCCAAGGAATTGGATCAAACTGGAAAACCTTTGCTCCATTAGCCACAGTAACATTGAGCACAAAAGAAGTGTAGGACTATTCTAGCTTCTGGGTTCAATGTTTCACCTGCTGAAGGCCTCACACTGCGCTGCAGAACAATCTGTACCTCACAACAAAAATTAAGCACCTATTGTTCCTCTACTTGAATCACAGAAACCTAAGAGATTAGAAATGAACCATTGTAAGGTTTTATTTACTCGAGTCAGATTTTAGAACGTGTGCTATGGAGTTTTATTATTACGTATACAGCATTTGTTTAAAGCAGCCGTGGCTTGTGTTTCTTAAACAAAGGCTGATGCTTCCTTTATTTAACTATAATCAAAAAAGGCTGGTAAATGTCACTAGAAACCTTTGGTTACAACTGCAGCAATCAGCTTAAACTTCAAAAAGATTTCACTCAGACTGTTTTTAGAAATAAGTATACATTTAATCAAAGGCGCTTTTATGACTCCAGACATTAAGAGTTAATTAGTTTTCTTCTGTATTAGTCAAGGATAACCACCTGTTTAATGCTGAAACACATAAATGCTCCTTTTTTTGTCAAGGTGAGTTACAGATTAAAAGGTTGCTCACATTTTAATTTGTGGCACATGTAAATAATCATAGGAAGGTATTTTTAATAGAACTTCCCTAGTTTATCTTAATTGTTTTTAGTTCTGAGGTTTATTGCTCCACCTACAAGTAAAGAAGCAAAGATTTGCCACTTTTTTATAGTGAAGCATTGAGACTAGATTTTCTAGTATGTGTGTATGTATTATATATATATATATATATATAGGAGCAGATATGATTTTTTTCTTCTGCCTTTCATTTTATTTGTATTGTTTTATTGTATGAAATGTTTTATTTTTTAATGAAATTAATAATACTATAAACCTGTTTTTATGTAGCTAAAAACATAAAAACAGGGAAGTGACCCTTTAATTCAAATATCTGGTTTCATGTAACCGTTTTTGCATAAATGATGCAAACACAGTGACATCTGCAAAACCCTTTATGGCACAAATAAGTGTTTTCCTTTAGGGGTTAAATGAGTTTGGACTCACCTGCTGAGCGACCCTCTCGCCCACCACTGAGACCGTGTCGTGGCCCCTGTGCCTCTCTTTGACGCACTGCGAACACACGCACTGCTGGTCGGTGTGGCAGTACAGACGCAGCAGCTTGTCGTGCTGCGGGCACAGCTTCTCTCTCAGCTTCTCCGTGGCCGGGATCAGCTTGTGGGCTTTCCTGTGGAAGCGCTCCTCGTGGACCTTCAGGTGGGCCGCGCAGTAGGACTCCAAGCACGCGAGGCAGGATTTAACGGCCCGGCTCCTCCCCCTGCAGGCGCCGCATTTCACTTCGTCCGGTTTAGTGGCTTGAGCCTCGCTCGTCAGAAACTTTTCCACCACCTCAGCCAGGACCGTGTTCCTGCTCAGCAAAGGCCTGGGGTTGAACACCTGTCTGCACTGAGGGCAGCTGTAGTGGTCTTTCTGCTTGGCCGTGTTCCAGTAGTCCTCAATGCAGTCCAGACAGTAGCTGTGCCCACAGGGGATGGTGACGGGGTCCCGCAAAACCTCCAAGCACACGGAACAACAGAACTGGTCCTGCTCGACAGAAATAGTCATGGCTGCCATTGCCTGATCACCGAAGCCAAAACAGGAAGAGGACAGAGACGGGTGGAGCTCACAGGTGTTCTAATAACAGCTGCTCAGGTTTCACCTGTTCCAACTCCAAGCCTCCAATCACAACTGGCAAACTAAAGTAGGCAGTCCCAGACCAGGCTGTGCAAAAAGCAACCTGCTGTAGACACGCCTCTCTTAAACACACACCAGGCAGGTTCACCGCAGGTGCGCTGACCTTCAAATGTAATTTTACGCTTAATGTTTTACAGGAAAACACAAGTTTCTACTTATGTCAGCCGTCTTCTGATGTCTGTACTTAAACGGTGAAATCTAAACCAACCCCTGAGTCCAAACACAATCTGAGAAACTCAACTTTTTTTAATGTAGACTCACAAATTATACATTTTCAAAAAAAAAGTCAGTTTACGTTTTTTGTTAAAAATGAGGAATACTTATAAAAGCATGCAGTTAAAGTATTTACAGTGACTTTTTTTGTTTGTTTTGTATACTAGTGTGTAAATGCTGCCTATTAGAGCTTAATGATAGCTTAAGTCTATTCATGTTTCCACCTCATTTTAATGCCCAAAAATAATAAATAAATAAAAATGTCAAAATGTTTCAGTCATGACAGGCTGTGCAGATTTGTAGGATAATTTTCAGCCTGTGAAACGTTCCGTTTGACATGCAGTCGGTTTATTTCCTCCTGGGGTGAGCGCGACGCTGAAGGTGTCTCTGTCTGGATCCGGAGGACAGTTTGGAGCCTGAGTGAACACAGAGGATGGAACGTTTAAGCACCAAGAGGACAGGCAGAAGCAAGATGAGGAGGAAGTTTTGTTCTGTTTACCAAATGGCGAGAAGACAAACATGGGCGCAGCTGCCCCTTCACTGAGGAATGGGTTCAGAGGGTTTACAGGAGCCTGGTCTAAACCAACATGAGGAATGACTGCAACAGCAAACATAAAATATTTAAGTTACAGCAGAGTTTCACATTCAGTTAAGAGTCTGCTGCATTCAGCACACAACACTGGAAACAAGCTGTGAGAAGAGTTTCTGCTGCTGATCAGTACAACAAGAATGTGGTAAATCAGACCTACAGGGACACACGTGTCACATAACAAACATATGAACCAAACTGGTTATATTAAGTGTTTTTGTACATGTAAAAAAAGAGTGTTCTGTTATGACTGAACAAATCTGGTCCAGAGAAAACAGGATTCTCGAAAAAAAATAAAATAACCATCTAACAAAGTTAATTAAAGATCTGATTTAATAGAATTGCGCTTTCAGTAAAAACAATACCTTAAAATGATTTAGTAACCATAAAACACAAGTCACAAACAAAATGTTTTCAACAAGAACCAACAAGCTAGAGTTTTGCTACTTTTATGATTTATAACCAAGTTAGATATGTTTCTCCTTAATAATTCACAAATGTTTATACACTCACCGGCCACTTTATTAGGTACACCTGTCCAACTGCTCGTTAACACTTAATTTCTAATCAGCCAATCACATGGCGGCAACTCAGTGCATTTAGGCATGTAGACATGGTCAAGACAATCTCCTGCAGTTCAAACCGAGCATCAGTATGGGGAAGAAAGGTGATTTGAGTGCCTTTGAACGTGGCATGGTTGTTGGTGCCAGAAGGGCTGGTCTGAGTATTTCAGAAACTGCTGATCTACTGGGATTTTCACGCACAACCATCTCTAGGGTTTACAGAGAATGGTCCGAAAAAGAAAAAACATCCAGTGAGTGGCAGTCCTGTGGGCGGAAATGCCTTGTTGATGCCAGAGGTCAGAGGAGAATGGGCAGACTGGTTCGAGCTGATAGAAAGGCAACAGTGACTCAAATAACCACCCGTTACAGCCAAGGTAGGCAGAAGAGCATCTCTGAACACACAACATGTCGAACTTTGAGGCAGATGGGCTTCAGCAGCAGAAGACCACACCGGGTGCCACTCCTTTCAGCTAAGAACAGGAAACTGAGGCTACAATTTGCACAAGCTCATCGAAATTGGACAAGAGAAGATTGGAAAAACGTTGTCTGGTCTGATGAGTCTCGATTTCTGCTGCGACATTCGGATGGTAGGGTCAGAATTTGGCGTCAACAACATGAAAGCATGGATCCATCCTGCCTTGTATCAACGGTTCAGGCTGGTGGTGGTGGTGTCATGGTGTGGGGAATCTTTTCTTGGCACTCTTTGGGCCCCTTGGTACCAATTGAGCATCGTTGCAACGCCACAGCCTACCTGAGTATTGTTGCTGACCATGTCCATCCCTTTATGACCACAATGTACCCAACATCTGATGGCTACTTTCAGCAGGATAATGCGCCATGTCATAAAGCTGAAATCATCTCAGACTGGTTTCTTGAACATGACAATGAGTTCACTGTACTCAAATGGCCTCCACAGTCACCAGATCTCAATCCAATAGAGCATCTTTKGGATGTGGTGGAACGGGAGATTCGCATCATGGATGTGCAGCCGACAAATCTGCGGCAACTGTGTGATGCCATCATGTCAATATGGACCAAAATCTCTGAGGACTGCTTCCAGCACCTTGTTGAATCTATGCCACGAAGAATTGAGGCAGTTCTGAAGGCAAAAGGGGGTCCAACCCGTTACTAGCGTGGTGTACCTAATAAAGTGGCCGGTGAGTGTATTTATGTAGCTGAAAAATAAATCTGTATTATTACAGAAAAAAATGCATTTTTGATGTAAAAAAAGCATTTAAAAAAATTAACGAAAAACAAATAAAAAAAGGTATCTGAAGTTATGACTTAACTAAAAACTTCATTTCTCAGCTTCTTAAACTTAAATCACATAAAAGAAATTGCTTGAACAGATAAAGGCTAAACGTTTTTGCATTTCATATTTTCGCTTTAGCTGGTTTGATGCTATAAAAATTATGCAACAGGATTAAAATATAAATATTTATACAATGGATTGGATCCAAATGTGCTAAAACTCTGAAAAAAGACAGATTTTAAAGACAAGTATGAATGGACTTACTTATCGGTGATTCCATCTGTGCAGCTGACCCGGTCTCACCAGTGAAGGTAAGGTCACACTGAACTTCAGGATTTTGAGGACTTAGAATTTTTACATCTTTCACTGCAATAAAAGAGGAAGGTTAAATACAGGAGGGTAGAAGGAGTAACTCGTGTCACTTAAAAACAAAGCGTATCTACCTTTCTCATAGATGCTGACAAATCCTCCCTGACACACTTCCTGCAGCAGTCCCTTAACGTCTGACACCGCTGTCATCACGGGGCAGAAGGACAGGCCGGGGTCTGCAATGACTGCGGGCGAAGCCGACAGCGCAGGTGGTGCTTGAAGGGACCCACAGCTCTGAACGGAAACAAAAAGAAGATAGCACTGGACTGTGTGCGGCTGAGTCGCCCTCCTGAGGAATAGGAGATATCACCTGGAGGAAATGGACGGGGTCCTCGATGTGGGACAGCTGGTCGAGTTCGGTCTCGCTCTTCTGCAGCTCAGAGATTTCCTTCTGGATCATCTCCAGCAGCTGCTCGGCCTCGCCGACCGCTGCCTTTTCCTGCGCTTTGATTAGCTCCCTCACTTCAAAGCGCTTCAGCTCTATCGAGCGGATGAGTTCGGTGAAGACGGCGTCGCTCTCCTCAGCTGCTGCCCGAGCTGAACGCTAGGGGGCGACAGACACAACGCGACAAACGGAGCAGGCAAGGAGTGAGGAATGTTTAAAAATAAAACCACCACCACCAGTGCTGTTTAAGAGTATTCTCAAGTGTGCCGGCTGTTTCAAAACAAAGAGGCAATTTAATGTGAGTGACAAGACTGAGCATCAGCACTTACAGTCAGAGAGAAAATTGCCTGTCTCAGCTCCTGCGCCTCTTTTTCTTTTTGCTGAATCTTCTCTTGGGAGTTCTGTTTCATTTCATCGAGCTGCCTCTGAGGGAAAATGTTGGAATTTTTAAATCAGAAGTCATGTTTATGAAGTAAATACATTGGAGAAACACAGACCACAGTGTGATGTGTTCAATAAAACCAACTGAAGGTGAAGTTATTATCTTGTTACATTGTTCTGCTGGAAAACAGTGGCTATTGCCCCCTGATAGCATATTATCTTGTCGGCTCCACCTCCAAGTCAAATCAGCTGGAAATAAAGACATGTTGACCTCATCTCTTCAACTCATACTTCACCAAATTACAGAATCCAAGAAAACCTAAAGCTATTTTTATTTAGCTGTTGTAACAAGTGTTTTCAAAAAGCACATTTAAGGTTAATGGACTTGACAGTGACTTTTTGTAGGCAAGTTGTAATTAGAACGAATATAGTACCTATACTACAACGCTGTTATTGCAAGTATGACTCAGCCCCCTGTGAGCAGAAGGTGTGAATCAGGGTCCCAACGATACCCAACACAAATAGGGAAAGAGAGACAAAAACAAGGGGACTTTGAACCCCGCTTGCACTCACTACGGCTGTGTCTCAATTCATGGGCTGGGTCCTCATGAGCTAGCTGGGTCACGTAGGCGACATCCTCGCTGGGCTGGGTAGGCTGCTAAAAACTGCTGTGAAATGAGACGGTCTACCCTTCGTCTGACGTCGGCTTCATGTGAGTTTGCGTGACCACGCGCTTCCCTGTTACCATAGTGATCAGTTTCATGTCGAACTTAAAATGCGTCGGAACATGTATTTATACGTCTTTTTACTGGAAGAATAACCTCACTGTTAAAATGTTAAACGTAAATAAATAAACATTAATAATTTGTGTTTAGCTCCAGCATCTACGATGGAGTTTCAGGGCCACACAGATTTTTTAAAATTATTACAAAAATAAAGTCATAATATTATGAGAATAAAGTCATAACATTACTGATAATTTGATGCTGATGTGCTAAAAGATTAACTATTTATTTTTAATCAATACTAAAGAACAAATTGAAAAGTTGTTCAATATTCCTCATTTTAATGCAGTTATAACTGCATGCTTTTCATGTAAAGGCTAGAATATTATCTTTTCTCGTAACATTATTACTTTAATCTTGTAATGTTCTGATTTTATTCTCATAATATTATGATTTTAATCTCGTAATGTTATGATTTTATTCTAGTAACTTGTATTTGCATTTTCTTTTATTTAACATCTTATTGCAATGTAAATTTCATCAGCTAGGTTGCTAAACTTACTTTTAAAAGCAAATTCTTCGGTTCGTGGTGAATTTCCAAACTACGCCGACTCGTTAAAAAAAAATAAAAACTCCGTCTTTGTTTCTCTGTTTAGTTTGCTGCCCGCACATTGAATCGTGGGATATCGTCGGCTGGTGAGGATACACGGCATCCTCAGATTATACACATAACAAAACACCAAATAACCACAGCCGAAACCAGTCAGATGATAGGGCACACGACCCTCTATGAACAATAGAGCTAATCAAGCCTATTGTTAGGCGATGGCCCTCTTTTGAATGTGACTAACCTGTTTGTCCATGTGGAGGCAGTGCTTATAAGGCTGATTTCACCTGAAACTCCTCAGACTGAAGTCTCTTGGAGGAGAGACGAAACATTTCACTAAAGAAGAGCCATCCAGAGGACCTACTTATTTTTTTATTTTTGATTTTTTCTACCTGGATTACTGTGATGCATCAGGACAACGAATATAGTAGCTTATGTTGCGCAGTTGTTTTAGTCACATAAAAAGTATAAAAAAAACCTAAGTCTTGGTTTTTACAAACATGTATAAAAACACAAAAATATTGTAATAAAATAACAAAATGAAACAGATTTGGAAAAGAGTGGGAAGAAGTAGGCTACAAACTTAATACCACCCCTTCTTCAAAACTTAATATAATACGTTTAATAAGATTAAAATGGTAAAACCTTTACCCATAATGACTTATATGTTTAAATGACTGCTTTCTCAATTTTAACTTGATTTTATAACACAACAAAAATATTTTATTTTTCTTCCTTCATTTTTAACCTCATTAGATCATCAGTGGTGTGTCAGTTATTGAGTATAAGTGTAATTAAATTACCTGTGTGTTCTGGATCTCTGTCTTCACTAGCAGTGTGTCGTGGCCTTTGTGTTCGTCTGTCAGACACAGGCAGCAGATGCAGCACCTGTCGGAGCGACAGTACACCTCCAGCAGCTTGTCGTGTCGGGGGCAGATCGTGTCCTGGAGCCGCTTGTTAGCCGACACCAGTTTGTGCTTCTTGAAAGCAGCAGACTCGTAGTGAGGCTGAACGTGGACGTCGCAGTACGAGGCCAAACAAACCAAGCAGGACTTGACAGCTTTGTTCTTCCTGCCCGAGCAGACGTCGCACTCCACGTCGCTGGCGTCGGGCGCACTTTGAGTCCCCTCCGCGGACACCGAGGGCTCGTCCGCATGGAGTCCCGTCTTCTTGAACTTCTCCACCACGTCGGCCAGCATGGTGTTCCTGGCGAGCAACGGCCTCGGGCTGAAGCTCTGTCGACACTGCGGGCAAACGAAGACCCCGAAGAAGTCGTCCTGGTCCCAGTAGTTCTGGATACATTCCGAGCAGTAGCTGTGTCCGCACGGGATGGTCACCGGGTACTTCAACACGTCCAGACATATGGAGCAGTTGAACTGGTCCCTGTCCAGCACAACTCCAGCCTGAGCCATCTTTAAAAACAAAACAGAGGAGATGGAACAGAAAACTCGAGAGCGAGGCTGTCAACAACACACCTGGGGCTGCCTCGTTTACAGGAAGTGGAAAAAATGGAGGCGGAGTTAAAGTGGCGACACAGGAAATAAAAAAAATAATAATCCCTTAATTGTGTTTTTTTTTTTGGTGCTTATTTTTTAAATTTACTACAATATGTTTATGTTATGTTGGATGTTTGCACCGAGGGAGAGTGCGACGTGTTGTGGCAACAAATTGCTAATTTGCGCATGCGTGAACTCAGGCAGCCACTTCCGGTATACAAGGCAAGCGTGCTTCTTGGCGTTTACCCCTCTTTTTGTTTACTTTTATTTACAGGGGTATTTATTAAAAAAAAACGTAATTGTATTTTACATTGTGATCGCGAAATATCCTCAACGCATATCATTATTCGATGTCGTATAGTAACAAAATGAATAATAATGAGTATATCTACACCGAGCATGCGTATTGGTGTTTTTGCCCATTTAACAATGACCTATATCTTGCTGGACCTCAGGTTATGATTGACACACTTTTTTTTTTTTTACCAACTGGGTCGATCGGTGGTCTCACCAGAACCAATAACACCCACCGTGGGTCACGGTGTGCAACCCGCCCTCCTCCACCTGTGGCTCATCATGATGCTACAGGCTTGTTCTGCTCTCCCTCCCTTTGTCCTGTGAGTAAGACTTTGTGAGTATGTGAGTAAATTGTGTTTGTCTATCGTAAAAGATGGCAACAAGAAAATGAAAGGGAACAAACGACACCGCAGAAATTTTGGAGCTGGTCAGTGGACTTTTCAGACCAAGGATGCGTTTGATGAAACAAGCGATGATGATTCGGTGTAGGAAGAAGCTGCTTTTGAGTAAGCTGATAAAACATATTTTTATTTACGCATTAAGGCAGGCATTGCATTTCAACGCAAATACTAACAAATGACGTGAATAAATATATACATTTCTGTTATCCATTGTCTTTTCTTTTATTTCTGTTATTTATCTGTGGGCACGTTGGGTAAAACATATCAGTCCATTCTATGGGATGGAGAACCCACTAGGAGCCACAGTCGGGACATTCTGAAGCCATTCTATGGGACTGATAATGACTAATAATGTCAATTTAATGGATGATAACATCTGAAGCAGGTGCATATATACAGTACATACAATAGGAATGAAACCCTGATTTTTTTATATAAATTTAGGCCAGTTGAATCAGACCTGGCGTGAAATCTTACTAAACAAAGCGGAGTGATTCAGTGATTCCAAAGTTGAAGAGAAACCAACCCCCATGAGGAGAGGAGCAAATGCCAAGAAGACGAGAGGAAGCAGAAGAAGGCGAGGCAGCAGTGGCAGAACTCAAACGCCAACTCCAGATGTGGAGAGATGGTGTGGTGTTGACGAACCGGACATAATGCCACCCCAGCCCACTTTTTGTCCCTTACGAGCACCAGGATCACAGGTCATCATATCATCTGCATACAGTGCTGTCAGTCTTTTCCAGCTGTTTTTTTTACCAACACATTATTACTGACAATATTAAAAAACACAAATGAATATGGCAGAGTACACTGCTCTCTTCACCTGCCAATCCTTGGATGATCATAACCCTGCCGGACATGTTTTCTTTTCTTTCTGTATTGATCTACATGGGCTTTGTCAAATGTACTTCTATGCCTGATTACTGGTGAGGGGGTGACTTGTACGGTTTGCCATTCCTACGGCAGGTAATGTTCAGAGAAAAATGGTCCAAGATCCTCCAGGCTCTTCGCCTGAGTAGTGCAAAAGGTGATGTTGCAAATGAAGCCCAAAGAGGGACACCAGCATTTGACTGTCTAGGAAAGCTAAAGCCAGCATACCAAGACATAAGAGAAGCTTGCTGTCAAAACTACCACCCAGGCCAGGAGATCTCCATCAGTGAGAGGGTGGTTGCCTCAAAGACTTGTTTGTCTGTCAAGCAGTACATGAAAAACAAATCTGTTCGCTCGGGCTTCAAGCTTTTCATTTTAGTTGATTCCAGCAATGGGTATACATGGGACTTTTTTGTGTCAGGGCAAGACCGAGGGTGCCAGTGTCATGAGACTGATGGACACCAAGGTCCTAGGCACTGGCTACAAGTTGTTTGTGGATAACTTTTACGCCAGTCCAGCTCTATTCCGTGATCTTCTGAAACGGAGAATCTGGGCTTGCGGGACCATCAGGACAAACGCAGCAGGGTTGCCCATGACAAGCGTGAACGCCTTGGACACAAAGTCTCCCCGTGGCAGCATCCGTTAGATTCGCACAGGTTCTGTTGTTTTTGTGCAGTGGCGAGATACTAAAGATGTCTTCCTCTGTTCCACCATCCACAAGGCCCATGGAGAAGAAACGGTCAGGAAAAAGGCGAGGGACGACAGTGGCAACTGGACTCTTACAACTGTGTCAGTTCCTCTTCCTCCTGCTATAAAAGATTATAATCTGCATGTATCGTGCATTAGATTTGACTGGATTTATGCCCCTTAAAGGGATCCATGATTAGTTGTAACATTAGACTTTATTTAATAAACGTATATTTTAACTGTAAAACAAAGACTAAAAATACTGTAGGATGTTCATTTCTTATCGTTTTTAAACTAAAAGTTTAAAAATATGTTACATGGATGGGGCCATTTTATTTACATGCAAAGCATTCTGGGTTAATGATGACTTGGATAGTTCCTCGCTGCGAGGCTGCTAGCGAGCTATATCCACCCTGAAGGTTAACCTTGGACAATATTTGATGAGTGGCTCTTTTAAATGAAACCAGAAAGCATTGGCAAAGAGGAGGTAGAAATGACTCCGCCTGTAACTGAAAATATGGATGGAGGACCTCAGTTTAGCTTGTTAGTTTGTGGAGCTAGCACCAAGCTAATTCATATAAGGCAATATAGCGTTGGCACTAGCGCGAAGGCTAACGGGCTAAGCTGGGGTTCTTCTTCCATGAAGCAGCTCTGTTGTTCTCTCTGTCAACGCTCTCTGGTTTCATTTAAGAGTCGATCGTCAGATATTGTCCAAGATTAACCTTCAGGGTGGATATAGCTCGCTCGCACCAAGGACCTATCCACGTCATCATTTACCCAGACTGCTTTGCTTGTAAATAAAATGGCTCCGTCTGTGTTAAAATATATTTTTAAACAATTACAAAACTAAACAGTCTACAGTATTTTTACAGTCTTTATTTTACAGTTAAAATAAGTGTTTATCAAACAAAGTCTGATGTTACAACTAATCAGGGATCCCTTTAAATTTGATTTGTTCTCTATTTGTTACCACTTTGTTGACATTGCCATCGTGAATGCCTTCGTCCTGCACAAAGAGCTGTGCAGAACAAAAGGACAAGTGCCGATGACCCAGAAGGCATTCAGGGAGACCCTCACAGAGCAGCTGATGCTTTTGGGCTCATCAACAGGCACCACCAGGCGACCACAGGAGCCATCTTGGCCACAAGATCAGCAGCACCGATTGGTCTTCATCGGCAACGACAGGACTAGTGACCACCAGAAATGTCGGCTGTGCCATTCAAAGAGAGCAGTGAAGTGCTCCATGTGTGACAAGGCCTTGTTTTGTGACGCAGAGAGACTTACAATAAATGGCATGATGGAAAAATGTGAATCAACACAACCGGACACCTGGGTTGAAAAAGTGAAATAGAAAATATACAGTTCACTGGGTCAGTGTTTCTAGTTTTACTTTTTTTTTTAAAGAACATAAATCTTTTTTTACAAACTAAATTTGTAGAACATTTTTTGGGAAAATGAACGTTATTGTTCATGCATCTACTACTGTATTTGTCATTTTGACAGGAAATCTGAGTATAAAACAGGATCCCCCTGCGTGTCGAAATACACTGGCTAGAGCTGTTGATGTTTTTAAAGTATTCTGAAGTTACACCCTTTTGAAGTTGGTGTTACCCAATTTGGCACATTTTGCATACATACGGATAACTTTCAGTGAGAACATTTACATATCCACAGAAAAACAGGTCCAGAATATTCATTTTTATGTTATTGACTTAAATCTGAATCTTAGTTTTGTTTGTGAAGCCAGTTATTTCAAGACAATGTTTGGTCAAACTACGCTTTACCCTGGATTATTTATTTTTTCTTCTTGAAAAGTAGCTCCAATAGCATATTTGGGCAATTAATACATGTTAAGAACCACAGTAAACTCAGTACTTCACAATTTCCAGAGCTGTTTTTTTTTATTTAAAATGCAATGATATAATTAAACACAATTGTTTAATAAGTCTGTTTCAATAAATTAAAGAATGATAAGTGGAAAGTAAAAATACAATTCATAAAGTGAAACTTCAGTATATGTTAGGATATTTTTTTAGAGAGAGCAATGACAATAAATATACAGATAGGACACATTTTTTAAAAAGTCTAATACTCGCAAAGAGCAATACATTACTTTGGTCACAACAAAAAGCTCTGATACATGGATGAACGGGTAACACATCTCAAATTGTTGTCAATAAGACCACTCAAGCGTTCAGGTTCCAGTGTGCGTTGCAGGTTTTTTAAAAGTTGCCAGCAACCTCATGTTAGCCTTCATTTATTATACCTGCCGATCAAAACTAAAACATTCTCTCAGTAATCACATGCAGATCCAATTAAGAGGCTGTCCACTTAAATGACTTTTTAAAACTATAAAAGAACAATAAAGTGCAGGATATATAGAGTATTCCCTTTCAGATTAACAGGAATTAACCTGTTCAAAATACCCACCATGGGATAAAACATCTGTCAGTTCATGCTCTTTATATGCATTCAAGTATTTCAATACATACAGTATACGGTTTTCTGTTTTTCATAAAAGTTATTTCTCTCCATCTAAACTACAAGAAACAGGCCTGAAAAATATTTTGATTGTTTTAAAACATGCACTGGTGTCAGTAAAAGATTAACTTTTGAACCACATGCTAAACTGAACAGATTATTTTCCTAAATGAGGAAAAATGAATAAATCTAAAATCCATCAACTACTTTGTAGGTTGCGAGGGTAAAACTATGTACCGGGTTCACTTTCTTTTCAAGCGAACGATTTTCATACAGTTCAAGTTTTCAGATGTAGCTGTCATTATTTCAGAACTTCACATCATACAAAAATACACAGCAGAACCGATTAACCCAAATCTGGGATACTAGAAGTCAGCTAAAACTCACTTGTTTATGTCTGTGGGTATGCAGAATGTATACGTTTGTGCAATGCTATGATATGTGTCTACACACATAATACAAGGTGGTCTCGGTGTGACTTCACTTGCTCTTATGCTCCAGTCCGCTCTCTGCTCTCAGCGCCTGGCTGCTGGCTGAAATGAAGCTGATCCAGTGTTTGAGCTCCTCTGAAAACTCTGGGCACTCGATCTGCAAATTAAAGCATAATTTGACACATTGTTAGTAACATAATCGCAATCATCTATGACATATTAAACTTTTTTTTTTAATGAAAGCAAAATGTTACCTTCTTTTTGCAGATAAATTCAATAATCCTTTCTGGGCTGCTGCCCACCACGTTCTGCCTACAGAGCATGACCGCAGACACAAAACCATCTCTCTTGGACACGAAGCGCTGCTCCAAGTAAAAGGCCTTCTCATCCCAGCCAAGCACTTTGGTGCGGATCTCAAACAGCTCCCTGAAGGCCAGAGAGCGGCGGTAACGGATGGTAGAGGCACCTACGACCAGTTTGGCTCCTAACTTGCGAGAGGTCAAGAACAGCCCGTTTCTCATGTAGTGGTGGAAGCGAGCAAAGTCACACTCCCTCAGATACCGAGAGTTGTTCATGTGCCCCAAGTAGTCTAAATCGTGAGTGAGGACTATGCCGTCAAAGATTTGCTCTGCGAGTATATCCTCTAATCTGGGCTGAAACCATGTCTCGATGAACACCAGGGCGCCCCGAAGGAAGTACCACACATCCAGGTTGCAGAAGAGCAGGAGGAGTGCAAACAGCACCAGCAGCAACATCTCTCTGGAACAGATCAAATGTCAAATTAAAGAAGCAAAAGAGGTGCATCAAATGTCAATAATTACATATATTTTAACAATATCTCTACTTAGTTTTTACAGCTGTGTAATGAAAAAAATTGCAATTTAAAAATAGTTTGTTTTCTAAATTCATAACCACACACGAACTGATTGAATCTGTTTCTTTTCTTTTTTTTTTCTTTTTTTCAAATTTAAAAATACTTTATTGATCCCAGAGGGAAATTTGGTAAAGAATGGATTTGAATGGAATTTAAAAAAAATGGATTTCCTTTTTTTTTTTCTTGATTGTATCTGTTTCTATGCAGATGCACATGAAAAGATGTCAGCTCTCCTGACTGAAAACACGGAGGCAGCCAAGTCACAGAGGCTATGCAACCTTGACAGGACTGCAGAGCTAACGCTGCACTGTTCAAATGAGCCGACAGCGAGCTCTGTTAGCTTAGCCGCTAGCTGCAGGAAGCCGATGGCCTTGGAGGGAGAGCGGACAAATTCTGATGCGGAAGTCGTCACGGTTCGGTTTCTTAACGTCGAATTTCAAGTACCAGCTATAAAGCGGACACAAGCATCACTGTATTACTGTGTAACTCACTGTGCGTTCCGTAGAAAGCGCTAACATGAGAAGAGATGCAACTTCAAGAAGCCGGCCGGTTCAATAGACATGACTTCCTGGTTAATGACGTAACGCAGACTGATTGGCTGACTTGTTGGCATAGGTTCAAGTTTTACCTTATGTCTCATTTGTTGAGGCTATGAAGTGTGGAATATAATGGTATTTTTTTAAATAAATCTGGTGCAGAAGTTTTTAAAACAATGTTTTTGTTCTAGATAACCCAAACTGAGGAATTTAAAAGTTTGTTTTTCAACATTTTTATTCAGTGTCCACCTGTATTTTTTGTATGAACGAAAATACAAAAACCTTTTTAATACTTTCCAAAATGTATAAACAAACCCTTAAAATTCATACATTTAGAAGAAATAAAAATAATATTGGGCTACTGTACATTAAAACGGAATTGGTTCAGATTGACAAATCTGTTTGCTAGTTCAACCTAAAAAAAGAAAGACAACTAATCTAATAAAACTGCAGCAGATCCCAGTTAGTTTTAATGTTTCTCTGTGAAATAAATTGATCATTAAATTGCATAGGTTAGCCTCAGTCGCCTGTGTATTCTTTCAATCTGTAAAATCACGTTGATTTATTGTAGCATTTTGATTTTTCTTTTGTGCATTAAACACAGAAGTCTCTTCATCGCTACATTCTTTAGGACACTGCATAGTGACTTATATTTCTAAGTAAACATCCCAATTTCTCACCATAAAAACATACAGTTAGGAAAGCATGGATTTTTATTGTATTTGTAAAACCTTCAAACTAAACTCATTATTTTATTGTTAAAAGATGATACAAATTATGTAGTCAAATGACTTTTCCATTAAAGATCATTTATAAACACTTTCAACTCTCAAAGAACTAAACAGAGTTATTTCAGTGATTCCTCTGTAAATAATTGAAGCTTATTTCCCTCAGTGCAAAATGTAGGCACAGATGTGCAACAGTCATTTAACGGAGCAGAGATGTCTCGCTCCACATATGACTCTTGGATGGGTGAACTGTCAGGGTTATAAAAAGGTTAGCACTAACAGCTGTCCATTTGATTCTTTATTTGTTCTTCTCCTCCAGACCACTCTCAGCTCTGAGGGCCTGGCTGCTGGCAGAGATGAAGTTGACCCAGTGCTGCAGGTCCTCTGGAAACTCGGGTCTTTCCACCTGCAGGTTGTAAAAAACAACAAGCTCACCATCTTTCAGAGGCAGTCAGTTCCAATGTTTAGTCTGAAAGTTACCAGCAACATTCTTTCTTACCTTCCTTTTGCACAGGTGCTGCAAGATCTTGTCCGGGCTGTTGCGTATCACACTCTGCTTACAGTACATGACGGCGCACACCAGCCCGTCTTTCGTCGACACAAATCTCTGCTCCAGGAAAAAGGCCTTGTCGTCCCACGTTACGATCCGACTGCGCAGCTCGTAGCCTTCTCCTATACACAGAGCCCTGCGGTAACGAATGGTGGTGGCGCCGACGACCATGTTGGCCCCGAGGGCCCGCGTCGCCTTGAACACGCCGTTCCGCGTGTAGAGGGAGAAGCGGGCGAAGTCGCACTCGCGCAGGTATCGAGCGTTATTCATGTGGCACATGTCGATGTCGTGTGGGGTGACCCGACCCGTCAGGACCTGCTCTGCCGTGACGTCCCAGACTGGAGGCTGAAACCAGGCCCGCAGGATCACCACGGCGGCCCGCACGAAGTACCACACATCCACGATGCAGAAGAGAGCGAGAACTGCGGCGAGAAGCCACAACACCCACCACATGTCTGTCAAAGAAAGGGCGTTTTTATTTATTTAAGAATGAATGATTTTTGTTACCGTGATATTTACAAGTTTAATTTAGTTCCATTTTCTTTGTTTTGCATTGTAGCAGGGAATAAGGGCAGGTAGGCTACGATGGATTGTTCTACAGTAGTGTGCTAAACCAGTGGTTCCCAAACTTTTTATCTTCTGACCCACAAAATATCCATGGAAAAACTTTGTGACCCCAAATATTACTGGTCTGAGTACACAAACGTCGTTAATAACCCTAAAAACGCAGGCTTTTTGACAATCTCTAAACAGCTTGTACACAAATATAAATACTTATTTATACTTATTTTGTGTTTTTGTAATAATTATAGAGAAAATATTACATCAGCAATTATTTTATTATTCTTTAAATTGATTTCTGGAGATTATCCAAGGTGCTTCATGACCCATATATGGGTCATGAAGCACCTTGGATAATCTCCAGAAATCAATTTAAAGAATAATAAAATAATTGCTGATGTAATATTTTCTCTATAATTATTACAAAAACACAAAATAAGTATAAATAAGTATTTATATTTGTGTACAAGCTGTTNATTTTAAATATACTAACCTCATTCATTTGTAACAACTAAGGCAAAAATGTAATTAATTCAGAAAATCTTTTCAGGACCCCACCTTGATGTTTCGGGACCCCACTTTGGGTCCCGACCCCAACTTTGGGAAACACTGTACTAAACTACCCCTGACATTTTTATATTCTTGCTTGCAAGATGCCCTATTTTTTTTCTTGATGTTGGTCTTGATGAGTAGTTCTCCAGGCTTTCAGAAGGTCTTCAGATGGTTTTCTTGGGAAACTTGTTATTTAACTGAAGATTCATTTTTACACCTACAAATGAACCACATCTTTTTATTGCCATTTAGAATTTTGTTTTTTCCTAACTTGACATCCTAAGTTTGTAAAGAAACTGGTTTGGGAGAGTGTAGATACACCAGAGACTCACATATTTCTCTGACTTGCAGAACTCTAGGTGTGTCCTTGCAACCCGGAGTGATGAGATAAAAAAAAAAAAAAAAAACACACCAAACCACTTTTGCTTCAGTCACAAATGAAGACGTCACTGCTTAAAAACGTGCAAGCTTTTCTAGTATCTGCCTAAATCTCGTTTAAACATTTGAAACTGTAAAAAAAAAACAACAACTGTGTGCAATCTTTTTAAAAGATTACTTAAACTTATGTTAATGGATGACTTACTTCTAACTACTTATTTGCAGTAAAAACGAACAGATATTAAATCTGTAGGTGTTGGGCCCTTGTCATTTCTGAAAACAATTATTCACCCTTTTGTGAAAACAAACAAAAAAAAGATTTAAAACTATTAAACCACTGTGATTTAAGTCGGTGAAAGAGCAAAACAGGTCCAGCAAGAAAGACAGGCTAACTCTGCAAATGGCACAAGTTTGAGGAAACAGCTAGTTTGACTGAAAACGAGAGATTTAAAACCTAAAGATAATTTAATGTATTTTCTAATAATTTCAATAGACACTTATCAGCTTTTCTTAAATTCATATATAATTTGAATTAACAGGGTTAATTCTGTAAAAGCATAAGGACTTTGTCCACAAATGTGTTAAATATCAGATTTTATGCACCTTCTCTTCTTAAAATGCTATAAATAATTTAGTACACTTCGGTTATAGGCGAACGAACAGTTTCAGTTACTTTATTAAAGCAGCTTTTTAGCAAACTCACAACAAACGTAACGTCAACAAACACACGCAGTACAAGCTTTTTGGCCAAATTAGCACTCACCTGCTCTTTGTCCTGCTTCAACTCAGATTTGCAGAGTCGGCAGCCTTCAACTAAACTTCTAAATACTTCCGGTGAGATCTTTCAGAGTAAAAGCGTTGTTGTATGAGTGCGTTACATTTTCGGTGAAACAAACGGTGAGCAAACATAAAATCACATTGTCTGCTTTGGCAAAAAATCTAAAATCAAATTAATAAATTACACATAGGTAAATGAATGGCTAAAATCACTTTTTGTTCCGTCTAACTTTTAGTTTGACATTAAGGTTAGTTTACTTCCTGTAACTTTAGTGACGTAAACTGATTGGACAGAGATGATTGGCTGTTAAATTGTGCGTTAAAATAACTTTGGGTGTCAAAGTTTTGACTCTTTGGGTGATTTTGATAATTACTAGATTATTCATAGATGAAAAAACAAGTCAGTAATCTATTATGATAAACTACAATGTTTTTTCTAGTAGAATTTCTCTAAGAATTAGATTTGAATAAGTATTTTGACATGATCAAATGTTATTTTGTAAATAAAACGCTGAATAGCTCTATAAAATATGCTCAAATGTGTTTGAATGCATTTCAAATTGCCGTATTGTGCTTTTCTGTTTGTTAATTGCATTATAAAGACTCTTGATAAAAACATCTAATAATCCACACGTGTATCAAAACATTAAAACTTCAAACAGTTCAGCCACAGTCGTTTTTTAATCCTTCAAACTTTATTTTGAAATCACAAAAGTGACAATATAAAGTTCCATAACTAAATGACAACTTTCAACAACTAAAAATGTGCAAAGACCAAAAATGGATGGCGAGAAACAAATCAAAACCCTATAAAAGCAAAATGCCAAACATGGCATGGCAACCATATCACACTGTAAACATTTTCAACAGTATGAGATGAAAAGCACTTAAACATACTTTCAAAAGTTACAACACAAACTAAGATTTTTTTAGCTAACTTTAAGGATAATAATGCCATAAAGACTAGTTTAAAAAAGGTTTACAAACCAGCAATTGGTTTCAAAACAACATTTTTGCATTTGAGTTTGCCCCAGCTACCTACCATAATTCTGACCTAAAAGGAAGTTTGGAAGCTGGAAATCAAAGTTTCTCTTCACAGATTCACTGAATTTGCTGGGATCTGAAGTCTGTTACCATTTTCTTCATGTTCCTATCAGATGTTATGTCACTCATTTCAAGTTCGTGCCCTGGACCAGCCATGGGATCATATTGGTGTCTGAAAAACACAAAGTGGAAATCCACAAATTGTAAACAGCAATACGTGCAAAAATTATGAGCAAATGCTTCTTTACAGCAGCTGTGTAAAGTCAGCAAGTGCTGCAGCAGCAGTGACTCACTGTCTGAGGTGTTCTTCGATGGCCTTGCGCTCGTACACTGTGCCATACACTGTTCTCACAGGATCAACAAACATCATATTGGTCAGGGGACAGACCAGATGACCAGGTATAAACTGTGGCACAGGATCCATCAGGCTCTTAAAAAGAAAAAAAAATCATATATATATATATACACTCACCGGCCACTTTATTAGGTACACCTGTCC